TTTTTTGAACTTAATCGATTTCAATCCCCGTACCGTCGACGTCATAAACTCAGCTAGTATGGTAGTGTGACAATCCCTTCGTACCGATACTGTGGGGTCCAGCTCCGAGCACATACTATCTCCTTCCTCACTACTTATGTCGTTCAGCGTCTTCGGCCGTCGACTGTGAATGACTGAGTTAGTCAGTCACACAACCCAATAACACTATCTCCTGGTGGGTTAGGTGTACAAGCGTACCGTTCACTCGGTGTAGTCGCGTACACACTCCTCTCCTACACTACACTATGAGTGTGTTGTCCATGCACCTGCGAAGAGGTGTTTTCATCTACACACACAAGCAAATCTTTGTAGTTCGGATTTGGTGATCAAGATATTGTTGTGATATTTTCCTATTCCCTTTCCCCGCCCGGACAACAATCTTTTTTGCTTCCGCAGGAAAAATAAGAGATATACACAACAAACAAACATCATATTCTTTGAGGAGAATCCCTTTTCCTGAGCTGTCATTGTAGTTACTATTACCGTGATCCTCCCTCCTTGTTGTCTTTAGGTGCCGCCTCCAAGGCTGTTGAGTTTGTAGAGCAAAACATCATTGTGTTGGGCGGCACTAGGTGGTGGTGGAGGAGGAGGAGGAGGAGGGGATAGGGTACCTTGGATGAAGTCGAGGATCGGCTTGATAGACTCCTTGTAGACATGAGGGATGATGGTATTTCGCTTGAAAGCATCGTTCTGGTGAAGACAATCAGAAGAGAAAGAAATACAGAAGAAGAGCAGGAAGAAGAAGAAGAAGAAACATAGCTCAGACGAGGACGAGGACGATGCTAGTGTAAGGTACCTTGTACATGATTGATGGGTTCTCCAGGAAGGATTTAATCTTGTCATATCTGCAGGAAGCAAGCGTGAGCGCATGGGGGAGAGGGAGCGATGGCAGCCACAAGAGGAAGAGCACGAACACGAGCACAAGGGTGGGAGCGACGAGCAGAGGACATGTTCGTACTTGAAGTTGATATGGTCAAGGAAGAGAGGCTCGGCCGGAGCGAGGCGGAAGGAGGAGACTTTGTCCTGCGTGCACTGTTTAGTAGGATAAGGACGAGGACGAGGACGAGGACGAGGACGAGGACGAGGACGAGGATCAGGACGAGGACTAGGGTGTCTTTCACCTTGCCGGGAAGTGGCACTCCCCTGAACACTCCTTCAATGCTCTTACGGTGGTCCAGACCTGACAGAAGAGTGAGATGCCGCGACCGACTGCTCTCTATGCAGAGGAGCAGAGCGAGGAGGAGGACGAGGAAAAGGAGAGTGAGGAGGAGAAGGGGGAGGGAGAAGAGAGAGGAGGAGGAGCGGTGTTAACGTACCAGCCTGAATGATGAGGATGGATAGTCCGATCATTTTACGGATCTGATGATACATGAAGCCCTTGCCCTGCGTCATGGTTATGCTGTCGCCAAGATACCAGATAGTTGTCTTCCTTGTTCAAAACAGGAGGAGGAGGATGTGAAGAATGTAGAGAAAGGAGGGTGGAGGGGGGGCTGGAGGAGGAGGTGAGAAGGAGGAGAAGGGAGGAGAGGAGGTGAAGAGGTGAAGAGGGAGAGGGAGGATACCTCAACTTCAATGACTGCGTATTCAATGTTGTTGTTGTAAACAAGCTCCTTGATCTTGAACGATGAGACTTCTCGGGTGGTCTGAAGATTCAGTGTCATGAGAGATTAGCAAGAAAGGGAGGAAAACGATACAAACAACCAAAAACAAGGGAGGAAGGGTAAGGCGAACAAACCGTGAGAAGAAATGAGACAAGGAAAGGCAAAGAGGAAGAAATCAGCGAGATGTCAACACAACAAGAGCGGTAAAGCATCCAGACTACAAGAGCAGTAATCATGTCAACCTCCTTGTATTTGTCTGCCTTCGCCTCGTCCGTGAAGGCTACGAAGTTGTCCTTACGTTGGAAACAGCTCAAGACCTGCAGGAGAGAAACAGTGAGAGATCAGACAGCAAGACAGAGGATGAAGACGAAGAAAACATGCAGGTGAGCGCAGAAACAGGTAAAGTTTGCTCCTTCTCTCTCTTCCTCACCTGTTGCACGTGCTCCAACTCCTCCGCTGTCAGTCGAGCTGTCCTCATTCGCGCATACAGCTGTTGCGAATTGGCAGCGACCTCCCGCTGGAGGGGGGCGAGAGCGAAGGCGGGGATGATGTACTGGTAGGTGCGACTGCCGACCAGTCAGAAGATAGATGAAAGAGGAGGAGGGGGAGTAGGAGGAGGAGGAACAAGGGGAGAGGAGGGGAACCAAGAAAAAGAGGCTATTACCTCCTGATGAAATAAGGAGTATACAACCACATAGTGTCTAATTGTGTGTCGAGCTTTGAGCCTGGATCGATCTGACGCATCGCTATGACTTCGACTTGTTGTTGCTTCGCCTTCATGGAACTTTACATGGCATGTCAATGTCAGCATCTTCAAACCCCTGCCTCTCCCTTCCCCTCCCTTCCATATTCCCGCTCTCTACATCTCCTCCTCCCTTCTTCTCTCCTCCCCCTCCCACTTCCTTCCTCTTTGATCGCTTCTTTTCTGCGATCTTCTTACCGATTCAACTTTGCGATGAATGCTGCGATTGGACTCTGACATTGAATCTTCTTCATGGTCACAACAACCTGCACAGTACGATCAGCTCCTTCACCACAAGACGTCTCTCCGGCCCCCTTGCTCTTGACTCATCAGCCAGCATCCTCCTCCTCCTCTTCCAACTCCACAACAACCACCATCACCACCACCACCACCTTCTTCTCCTCCTCCTCCTCCTCCTCCTTCTCCTCCTCCTCCTCCTCCTCCTCCCCAGCCCGCCCCCTCCCCCCGCCTCCCACCTCTCTCTCCTCCCTTACCAGAGACTGCGCGGCGTGCACTCCTTTGTCTGTCCTACTGGCGATAAGAAACTCTTCGACCCGATCCTCTTCGATCGCTCCCAGCAAGACCCTGAAGAGCAAGAAGAGTGAGAAATGTCCTGTTGTGTGACCAAGACTACACGTAGTTGAAGGCAGAGGAAGAAGACAAGACAGAAGGTAAGACTTCAAGAGATAGCGAGAAGGGAGGAAAGGACAGGGAGAAGAGATAGGGGAGGAGGGAGAAAGAAGAGGAGTGGAATGTAGCTAGGAAGGATACGCACATGTGCTCAACCAAACATTGCTGCACCGTTGGCCCGTACGGGTTCCTTTGAATCCCAAGAAATTTATGTCCGAGGTAGGAAAGGTTGACTAGACACTGAGATGCAAAGTGAGAAGTAAGAGGAGAAGAAGACGAAAATGTCGTGTGATACAGCACGTGGAATGAGCCGAGGGATTTGAGAAGAGGAGGGGAAGGAGCAGGTGCAGGACGAGATGAAAAGGAAGAGGAGGATGAAGGGGGGAGGGGAAGGCAAAAGAGGAGTCCAAACCTTGACGTAGGTATCCTCAAATTCGACGGGGGTGGCAAGAAGTTCAGTTTCGAACTCCTGTTGGTCAGAGATCAGGACAGACTAGACCAATAAGAAGAGGAAAGTTGAGAAAAGTTGAGAGGGAGGTCGAGAATCAAGGATAGGATCAAGAGAGAGAAAGGAGTGATTCAGTAAATGGGAGGAGGGAGAGGGGGTCAGAGAGGAGGAGGGAGGAGGAGCTTAGTCGTAGGCTCTTACCACACTGCCTTCCGGCGAGAAGCGAAACTCGGTCTCGCAGCAACTCTGTTGGCAAGAGGAGAAAGGTGAGCACCAACAGCAAGCTCCACAACCACAACCACTGACACAAGCACTGACACAGAACCACAACCTCCTCCTTCTCACCCATCTTGACGAGGTGCAATCTCCCGTCGTAGACGTCTCGCTTGGCACGCTGACCTCGGACCCATCGACACTGGACTGATACCGCAACGTCAAACCCTTCCTCCTCTCCCCGACTGCGCTTACCAGCTCCTCTCTCTCTTCCTCCCCCCAATACGCTGCGTCCTCGTACTCCTCGTACTCCTCGTACTCCGCATACTGCTCGTACTCCGCATACTGCTCGTAGCTCTTGTCCTCGAATTCCTGTCGATGCTCCTCGCACAAGTTGTCTTGCAATGAGGGGAAATTGTATGCGTTCGCTTGCAGCTCTCGATTCACGGGAAAAGGGCCCGGCAGGTAGTCAGACCCGACCCCAGCGGCGAAAGAGCTGACAGGGGGGAATGCAGCTGGGGTAAGATCTATGGTGCAATCGTCATCTGAGGCAGCAGTGCGTGAAACAGGCGGAGCTGGAGGGGAGCTGGAGAATGGAGGCGACGGAAAGGGCTCAGACTTCTGAACTCCCCTCATTCGATTCCAGGTCGACGACTCCCGGGAAGTCACAGCAGAGAGAGATGGCCATGCATCCTCTGAGGAGACGGGTGGAGGAGAAGGGTCTGACTGTGCTGGCAGCGCCGGAGGAGCAGCGGTCCTAGCCTCGACCTGTACCACTGTCGCCGCATACGAGCTCCTTGGAGGGGATGAAGTAGGGGAGACAGAGCGCGGGAGAGGAGGAGCAGAGACGGAGCTTGGGGGAGGAGGAGCAGGATCAAGCCTGCTGGAAGGAGGAGAGGAAACGAGGCGGTTGTCACCAGGCTGAGTCCGTGGAGGCCAGGAAGGAACGCGGAAGGCTGGGCCATCATATCCAACTGAGATCGGCATGACGTCGGTGCTGAAGGTCTCGGGAGGCAAATGAAGGTGAAGTAGATCGAATTCGTTGTGCTCCAGGCGAACGAGCAGTGGGGTGTAGCTGTTCCCCCGCTCGGTGGGATAGAACTTTAAGAGAGTCTGCGATACCATCAGGAGGGGATGCTGGCAATAAAAGATAAGTTCAGACCTCCCTGTCTTGTTCCAACAACATTCTTGCCCCTTTGAGTGTGATGCGGTTATGTGACAGGTGTACCTCGGTAATAGTTCCCTCGCAGAAGATGAGCAGGCTTAGAAGCTGAGCATGAATGCAATCAGTTGAAGGATCTAGAGTTGTGTTTTACCTCTGGCATGACTGCATCCGTCAAATTGAGATGGTGAAGGTAAAGTCTGTAAACGTCTACGAGTTGTTGTTCGACAGCCTGCCAAGGTCAGGTCACTTATGGTTATCATAATAACACCCTCCTGGCTTGACTGTTGTACCTCTCGCAACGCATGAAGGATTGAGATCACATCAATGTCTCTCGCATTTTTGCAGAATTGCAGTTTGAGGCTCAACCTGTACGTCCTGCGTTTGGGTCTTGATTGGGTGTATGCATGCTTGATACACGGGAGAAGCTGTTGATGAGAACAAAGTCAGCCTCGCGTTTCGCAGCCCCGCCTTCTCTTGCTTCTTCTTGGACTCACATGCCTCGATGCTTGTCGGAGATCTGCATCTGTTGCATTGCTATGAGTTGGGGCCAAAACTAACTCGCTGGGGTTGTTGGTAGCTTCACGTTTCCAATACGAAGAGTGTTGGTACATTTTAGGAGATTCTGTGGACTTAAGGTGTCGATAAGGTGTTTCTGGGATGCTGGAATAAGCGTGTGAGGCCATAACAAATCAAAAACTCATTGAAGAAAAACCAAAGACGCGGAAATGTGCAGAAACAGAAACAATAATGCTCGAAAAATGACAACAACGAATCGAGATACGAATTGGGAGAGCAGAAGGAATAGGAGCGATTGAACTTTCAAGAGGATCAAAACTAATTTGGAAGGAAGATTTCGAACCAGATGAGAAAATGAGGAAGAAAGTCAAGATGGAATCAGGGATTTCAACAATTTCGAGGCAGAGGACATTGCACCAGGAACTGCCTCTGAGATCGAGGAGGAGGAGGAGGAGGAGGAGGAGGAGGAGGAGGAGGTTGTCAGTGCGATGCAGGGCATTGAACTCGAAGAGTATATCAAAGAGAGTCATGCAAGACAGGGAGAGGAGGAGGAGGAGGTGATAAGGCGAGCGGGGGAACAGCACAGGACAAGGCGTGTTGTGCTGGGCATGGGGGGGAAACTGTATGTACGATTCGGTATCCAGACCCTCTAAAGGGAAAGAGAGTTCTGAAAAGGGGGGGTAGGGTGGTCATGGGGCGGGTGGGTTGACCACAGCGTATGTTTCAAGCTGCCAACAGGGGGTAGCAAGATGCGTACTGCCTAATTCAGGGGGGTGGGGGTTAATTTGGGTTCTTGGTATAGTGTCTCTTTGGTCAAGGGTAAGCGGTATGGTGATAAATAGATAGGCATATAACATTGATTTAACGAGATGAAGATATGCTATCTGGAACAGAAAGCAGAAGGTAGGAAAACGATGATTGAAGAGGTAGATCATAGGGGGGTAGGGTAGGGCTTGGGGGTGGTACATGTCGAAATGTTTGCTGGAAGGCTGGTGCAGCATGGCGATTGGTTCACCCACGAACCTGCTTTACGAAAGAATAGGGTAGGGTACTACAATAAGGGTTACAATCAATGGGAAAAGTAGGGGTACATTTGAGAAAACAAGCACATGGTTGGCAGGGTAGGGTGGAGCTTGTATTAAGTTGGTCCACCACTAGAGTACCGGTACTTCGCCAGGGTAGTACAAAAAGTTGCATGCCCATCGCAAGGGTTCCGAATAAGTCGTACAGGGTAGGGTAGTCTTGGACCACTAATGACCCCTTGAGTACCCCTTTGGGAGACATTTTTGTACTGCAAAAGACGAGTATGGGTAGGTAGTGTAGGGCATTAAAATGCAAAGCGAGCTCATGGGGTGGGTACTTGCCTTAAGGGGCGAAAGATGAGTAAACTTAAGTACCGAAGCCGTACTGAATCACGGGATTTGATGTCATTTTTAGAGTCATTGTTTTACGATGTTGAATTCGTCTCTAATAATACCACTCAGACCGGTAGTAAAAAGTTAACCGTAAAAGCACTAGTGATGGCCCGGCCCGGCAGTGCCGGCGGTGGTGGCCGGGCCACCTGCAGAACCAGATTTCGCGCAATGGGTCTCCATCCCTCATCATTGTGGACGACTCTTCGAATTTATGTCAAATCACATCAAATTCTGCTTATATCATTCAAACTTTTAAAAAACAATTTAAATTTTATCTTCTCCTTGGAAAATAATTCTATTTGTCAAGCTTCGTTTGGAGAATTGGGCACATGCCTCTAGACGGAGGGGTCATATTGACTGTACTTGGGAGGGTACATGGTACATGGAGATCCACGGGTGGTTATTAAGAGGGTCGATGGGGTAGGGTTCTCCAATAGCGGCGTGGCTCTTCGCGATGGTGCAGGCCGAACATTGTGAGGGCTACGGCGCTGTGCCGGGCATGTCGAGAAGAAAAATGGTGGGAGAAGGAGAGCAGAAGATGGATGAGAAGAGAGTGGTAAGTTACATTGTTATTTAAACTCTTCTTCTCTTGTTTTTTCATGATGAACTTGTAATGGCTGCGGTTGATGGAATGGTTATTTCTGGTGAATTGAGGTCAAAGTGCGGTTTTGTTTAGTAGTATGCTCAGATGTTTTGATGAATTATGCCTATTCATTGTCATGAGAACAATTTTTTGCTGTTTTCGTTGAAACAACACTTACGGCCCTGTGGGTCGCATGGAGGTGACGTGGTGATTGTTGTGGGTTTGTGTGAATTTTGTTTTCATGTTTGACTGGATGATTAATGGTGGTCATTTTACATGCAACATGTTACACCATTCTGATGTGTTTGCTCTGAAACTTGACTCTACTGATGTGATACTGGTTACCGCGCTTGACTGTGCATGGCAGGGAGTCACCAGGATTGCAGCTGTCATGGCCATTGCTCTCACCGCCGTCATCTGTGTTGGCGTCTTCTCCCGCCACATGGGAGCAACTTCCCTTGAGGCCACCAAGCTCCGTGCTGACTCCAACTTCGACGTGGCCGATGCCATCTTGAAGAGCGCGGGGGTCAAGGACAAAGAAGGTTCTATCCCTGCCTCCATCGCCGCGCTGGCTGCGCAGGCGGCCAAGGAGAAGGAGACGGGAAGGCTGTCAGCCACTGTCGAGCTCCCTCAGATCCCCAAGAAGATCGCGGCCATGGCGGCTGAGGCCAAGAGGGAGATCATGATCGAGCGATCTGTGGATCGCAAGAAGAAGCAGCAGAAGGAGGCGAAGAAACTTGCTGAGGAGAAGAAGGAGAAGGCCGAGAAGGAGGAGGAGGCTGCTGCCAAGCATGCCAAGGCTGCCAAGAAGCATGCTGCTGCAGAGAAGACCAAGGCTACCGGTAAGGGCATTGAGAGGGAGTTTGAGAGGGAGATGGTGGAACGGAGGGAAGCGGGCAGGGCGTGTGGGAGTGGTGGAGGATGAAGAACTGATGTTTCTGCTCAGTTCATGACGTCAAGAAGATGGCGGCCAAGGCCAAGTTGGCGGCCAAGCATGCCGCTGCTGCTGACGCCCATGGCAGCAACAAGCTTTTCAAGCGCATTTTTTCGAAGAAGTAGAGATTCTAGAGAGATCTATTCTTGCCTTGTCACGTTCACATTGCTATAAAGAACCAATTCCTTCCGTGCTGATATTACAACATCGAAGCCAAGGCTCGGAGGATCCCCTCCCCTGTTCGATCAGATGTCAGTAGCGAGTGGCAGCAGCCACGAGGGTGAAGAACAAACTCAGACCTTGGGTGTCTTGCCTCGTAAACATCTCGTCCATCATTCTCTCCATGTGCTGTCTCGCATGTCAGCTCAGCGATGAACACTGCTGTGACCACCAGCATCGCTCGCCCAAGCTCTCCGTCCTCCTCGTTCGCCTCTGCTTCCTCCTGTCACCTTCAACCGGCCAAGTCTCCTTCACCTCTCTTCCGGCAAGATGCGACGAAGCAAGACTCGCGGGCGGGAACGAAGGCTTGTTCCTCCTCGCGACCTCGCCTGTGAAGCAGATGAGGACAAGATACGGCAGGAGAGGACAGGAGACGACCTGAGCTCCAGCAGCGCCGATGTCAAGTCTGTCGAGTCCCGGCAAGCCCAGGTGTCACACGAGCAGCACGAGAGGAGCAACTGCCTCACCCTCCGCCATCTCGTCGCCTCCATGCTCAAGGCAGAGCTCTCGTGCTGCCCGGCAAGTCAGCAAGGAGGAGAAGCCAAGGGGGCAGGAGACCCGAAGCCGCAAACTCATCCAGCTGAGCGAGAGGAGAGGATCTGCTGAGGGCAGCACTGCAACAGAGCTCGAAGAAGGCAACGAGGAGGAGGAGAGCTACCGGCTCGCGACCTTGAATCGCTCCTGCTCCAGTGATCACCCAACCAGCTCGCATGCGCTCACATGCTACCTTGTCGCTGTCGGGCAGGACAGCATAGAGGGACTGCGCAGACGTGAGGAGCAATCGGGGAGGAGGATGAGAACGTTACAGCCAAGGCCTTGGCTGCTCCGCTCTTGACCCGCTCCCCCTGCTGCATCCAATGAGAAAGGAGTGGATGGTCAGTGGGAGGAGCAAACAGCAGTCCCGTCGACTTCGTGCTCGAGCAGCTGCCACCGACAGACGTGAGAAGGGAGGAGGAGGAAGCAGGTCAACTGACTTCCGTCTCAGTCACTTGCCAGCGAGACGAGGAGGAGGCGAGACGATGTGCTCGACGAGTGTGTGAGATGCTGATAAATCTTCCACCTGCCAGCACAAGCTCAGCAGGTGGCGGTGGGTGCCGAGAGGAGGAGCCGGACTTGGAGGAGAAAGAAGGAAAGAATCAAGATGAGGATACAGGAAGGAGGGAGGAGGAAAGAGGAGAAAGGGGAGGGGGAAGGGAGGGGGAAGGGAGGGGGAAGGGAGGGGAGGGAGGGGAGGGGGAAGGGAGGGGGAAGGGAGGGGAGGGGGAAGGGAGGGGAGGGAGAGAGGAGGGGAGGGGACGCAACCAGGTTTGAGCGCATTGAGAGCATGTAAGCAAGCAGACGTGAAGTTTGACTCGCTCTGTCCCCCGCACAAGATTGTGTCAAGAGTTGCTTTTTCGACGACCAGGTCGAAGCTGGACGTCAGCTGGTCAGACCCGCGCCTTGTCAAACCTCCTCACCTCTCCCTCCGTACTGGCAGGCGCAGGAACCTGAGGAGAGTGAGCTGGGGGGTGCAGTAGGGCCCTGAAGTCTCACCCGCTCCTCCTCGTTCTCGCTGCCTGGAGCACCGCGATAGGGGAGAAGTCAAGGCTGATCACTCGACAACCCATCCCCTCCAACGCGCTGATGAGACAAGCCGAGTCAGGTAGACGAGGCGCAGCCAAGGTAACGCATGTAGGAGGAAGAGGGAAAACGAAGAAGAGGAGGGAGGAGACAGGAGGGAAGGAAGTGACAGCAGGAAGGAGGGAGGAAAGAAGGAGGGAGAAAGGAAGGAGTTCACGACGGAACAAGAAGCTAAGAGGAACAACAACACGGAGAGAGTGGTAGGGAATCAGCAATGTAGGAGAAGGAGAAAGTGATGAGAGGCTTGTTCTTACCTCCCAAGATCCGATAACCCGCAGCCAAGCTCGAGCACAAGAAGACCCGCACCCTTCTCCTCCTGCATGATGTGCTTGGCAATCGCCTGCCCTGAGCTGTACCAGTCCCTCGTGTAGACTTCCTGCTCGCACACTTATCAGCTCCTCCACCACCTCCTACTCCTACTCCTCCTGTCCCTTCCCTTCTCCTCCTCCTCCTGTCCCTTCCCTTCTCCTCCTCTCACTCCCACTCCTCCTCCTCCTCTCGTTCTCACCGCGAACTTCATCGGGTTCCCATAGTAGGAGTTCCAGTACCTCCTTCCTCCCCCGAAGCGATGGATCTTCGCGTCCTCCTCCCTCCTCCGCACCTGGCCAGCAGCTGAGGGTCGAGCTCAGCAAGGAGTCAATACCTTGTCTGCCGCCTCTGCACGCTCCTCCTCCCACTCTTCTCTCCATTGAGGGAGTGAGAGACCCTTTGGGCCCACGTGCCCGTCCTGCGTCCCCGTCTGGGCCTGCACCTGCTCCTGCTCTCCCTCGACCTGGTTGATGTCTCGAGGACGGACGGAGAGGAGACGGTCTCCCTCCTCTTGTGCATCGAAGGAGCTGTAGAGACATGAGGAGAATGAGAAGCAGGAGCAGGAGCAGGAGCAGGAGCAGAAACAGGGGCAGGAGCAGGGGCAGGAGCAAGGAGAACCTTTGAAAGGAAAATGAGGCGCCTCTTCCATCCTGCACAAGCTTGAGCACGCAGCATACAGAACGAGGCACCGGGTACCGTGGGCTGCTGCTCGAGGGGAAGGGGGGCAAGGGAAGGAGGGGAGGAGGAGGAGGAGCCGATGTCTCTCGGTCGAGCAACCATCTCCCTGCCTCCTTCCTGCAGGCGCGTGAGCATCGCAGGCGAGAGCAGGAGACTCCGCTGCTACCTCCACCGTTGAGGAGTGTGTGACTGAAGAAGTTCCCGTCGAGTGGCTGGGCATGCTGGTGTAGAGTGAGCGAAGATGGCAGCTGAGGAGGTCAGAGCATGCTGCCTTGCCCTGCCCTCCCTGCCTCCAACCTCCACCTCCCTGCTCTCCTACTCCCAGTTCCTGCTCTCCTCGCCTTCTTCTTTTTGAGCTGCCTCTACCTCCCTCGCCGTCTACCAACTTGTCTACCCTCCTCCTCCCCTCCCTCCCTACCTCCTCCACCTCCTCCCCTACCTCCCTACCTCCTCCACCTCCACCCCTCGCCGGGCCTCTGCCACTCGAGTGATCTCCTTCCGTCTGCGCTATGATGTCAGGAGAGTGGGAGGGGGGGGGGGGGAGGGGGGGGGGGGGGAGGGGCGGAGGCGACGTGG